GCTTCCTCTCATTTCTCTCAAGATTGTCAGGTTTAAAAGGATATGCCTACCAGGTACAGTAGAAATTCTAGGACGAAAACCAAAGAGATTAATTTTATTCATTTAGAGATTCTGATCTGGAATCCTCAATCTGTTCTTAATTATGTGGGTGTTTTTTTTTTTTTTTTTTACTTAAATGATACCCCTTTGTTTGGAATGGTGGCAAGAACTCTGCTGGGCTGAGTGGTCAGCCAGCATCTATGAGGAAAATGATAATAGCATGTGAATGCATTGATGCTCCTATCAGAATCTGAGGGACAGTAGTTTCTCAACTTCAAGCCTGCATCAGACTCCCCTGCATGGCTTGTTAAAACCCAGATTGCTGGGCTTCAGGGTTTTTGATTCATTAGGTTTGGATTCTGGCCTGAGAATTTACATTTCAATCATGTACTCAAAGATACTGATGCTGCTGGTCTGGGGACCACATTTTGAGAACCACTGTCTTAGGGAATATATGGGGGTATAGAAGTGCAACTAACAGTGATCCTTCTGCTGCAGGGGGTGAATCTCTACATTAAGAACTTGGATGACACCATTGATGATGAGAAGTTAAGGAAAGAGTTTTCTCCTTTTGGATCCATCACTAGTGCCAAGGTATTTTATATTGAGGTTCTGAGACTGAAAGCAGAAGTTGTATAATCTTTTAGCAATTTATTGGCATTTGTTTCATTGAAGGAATAGGATCTAAGTTGTGTTCATTTTTGAGAGTAGCTACCACATTAATCTAGCAAATTCCTCCTGGCATTTAATTACCCATTTGAATGTATGTTCTGCAGAATGAGAATTCATTGGGTCATTACTATGCTATCTCCCAAGCACTGGAATATGGAGACAAATCTGACCCGGTCCCTCTCTGCACCTGAATCTTTCCCATTCTTTGCTGCTTCGTGCTGGTGTGGGGACAGATGGTGCTACAGTAAGAGCAGAGGAAATCCAGACGGGTTGTTTTCCATTTGTCTTGGGGCCTGTCTCTACAACTCTGCCACACTTTATCCCTGAACAAAGGTATTTTGAGGATTTTAAAGTCAAGGAATTTTGGTCCTTGAGCAAGAGAATACTGATTACATGAGGATAGTGTACTATGTGTCCTTGGCTCTTTGAGAATGTGATGAGAACTGATGGCATCTGAAAGTTTTGGGTCATAGCTTGATGCAGACACTAGTCTTGCTCAGCAGAGGTGCAATAGATGTCACAAAGTCCTTTAAGTGATGAGGAGGGAGGCCAACTGGGTCAATAAAGACTATAGGTGACCGCGCCCTGGCCCTTAGCTTAAGTCACTCTCAGCCTGGAAGCAGCAGCATCAGTGTATCAGGGAATTGATCAGAGGTTGCCCTGTGGGATGTTTCTAGTTTCTTGCCCTTTCTTATCACCCCCTCGACTGGCTTCCATCAGTGCAAGGAATGCTAGTTTCTCCTTGTTTATCAGCTTAGTAGTCAAGTTGGCATTTGCAAGAAGAGGACAAAAGAACCATATCTTGAAATTTCACAGGCACCATTTTCAAGAGCAAGGTGTCACACACATACTTTATTGGCTCACCTCATTGGTAGAGAGTTGTTGGTTTGATACACATCTTTACTTTCATGTCCTCCACTTCAGAAGGCTCTCCAGGCAGTGAGCTAAGACAAACATAATGGTGCCAAGAACATAGTCATATTGTTATCAATGCTTCTGAAGAGATAGGCCAGGGAAAGCAATAAATAACATTTTCAAGTGAGAAAAAGAACTATTTGTGAACAACCAACTATCTAGAAAAAGAGTGCCTGAACCAGTAGACAGGTAGCTGTTTACTTTAGTGTATAGCATGACATTGAGGCTCAGAGAAGGCAAGTTAAGTGATTTGTTAAGGTTGTACAGCTTAGAAATTGCAGAGCTGGGTCTAGAATTCAAGTGTCTCCCAGCTGGTCATTTTTCTGCTCTGTTATTCCCATTGAATTAATGGTGGCAGTCATTGGTTTTAACTCCTGTGGTATTTCAAAAGCATATTCTAATTGTGTTAAGAGCTCATTAAAGTTTTATTCACTAAAGCCTTAGGCTGCTGAGTTCTGCAATTAAATTGCTTGATAATACTGTTCAGCTCTCTTGTGGGTACCCAGATGTAGCCATACTGCTAGGTATCAGGAAATGTCTTTGGGTTCCTGGTTTAACCATTAGCCATATCATAGTGTTTGGGAACAGCACCTGGTCTTCCTAGGTGGTCTCCCATCCAATACTAACCAAGCCCGACCCTGCTTAGCTTCTGAGATCAGACAAGATCAGGCACGTTCAGGGTGGCATGGCTGTAGACTTGTGTTTGAGAACTTTAGAATCACCTGGGTATCTAACAAAGAAAATGTGTAGGTCCTACCCTTAGAGAGCTGTGACTTAATTGGCCTGGGGTACATGCCGGGATGGGGCTGAGAACCCCTCTTCTAGAAATGGTGATTCTTGCAGCAGAACCCAGGTTTTCTGGCTCTTAATAGCTGCCCCAACATAGAACACCTTTTTCTTAAGAAGCTGGTCTCTTTTTGTAGGTAATGCTGGAGGATGGGAGAAGCAAAGGGTTTGGCTTTGTCTGCTTCTCATCTCCTGAAGAGGCAACCAAAGCGGTCACTGAGATGAATGGACGCATCGTGGGCTCCAAGCCACTGTATGTTGCCCTGGCCCAGAGGAAGGAAGAGCGAAAGGCTCACCTGACCAACCAATATATGCAGCGGGTGGCCGGAATGAGAGCACTCCCTGCCAATGCCATCTTAAATCAATTCCAGCCTGCAGCTGGCGGCTACTTTGTGCCAGCAGTTCCACAGGTGGGTCTGCTATATGTTCATGGCTCTTTGGAGCCTGCCCACTCACAACTGCTCGTGTAGTCTGCAGTAGTTGGGAGAGGGGTTATGGGATATCAGAATTCTAGAATGTCAGAGTAAGGGTCCTTAAGGTAAAATGAGAAAAGACTTATTCATGGTCACACATACGGGCAAGGGTAAAGAATCTCCACTGACTGACCTTCCCGCCAAGCCTTTGATTAGAGAGCCTCTACCCAAATAATTAGCCAAGGCCTGGTAGTGAGTTGAAGTATTTCTCTAGTGTGGACTCAGGTCCTTAAAATGAAGAGGCTTGGGTTCTCTTTCTTACAGGCTCAAGGAAGACCTCCATATTATACACCTAACCAGTTAGCACAGATGAGGCCTAATCCACGCTGGCAGCAAGGTGGGAGACCTCAAGGTAGGTGGTGGGGAACAGGGATTTGATCACCCAGGATATATATACCCTGACCTCTTTTGCCTCTCCTTGCTCCCTCTGAGGTGCAGCCTAGGTTCTGAGCCACATCCTTCCTCAACGATGTGCCATTTTTGTCTTTCACCAGGCTTCCAAGGAATGCCAAGTGCTATACGCCAGTCTGGGCCTCGTCCAGCTCTTCGCCATCTGGCTCCAACTGGTAATGCTCCGGCCTCTCGTGGCCTCCCTACTACCGCTCAGAGAGTCGGTGAGCAAACTGGCCTTGAGAAGTGTGGCCTGGGGAGGAGGGAGTCAGGATACCTAGGCTTTGCCCAGGGTTAGTCACTTTGCTGGGCTCATCTTCTAGCCCTGGTTCTGTAATCTTAGCTGTGTGCTTAGGTAGGTACTTAAGGAGCAAAGAAATAACATTCTACGAGTGTTGGTTACTTTTAAGAGTCTTTGCTCATTGGTGACATGTGTGAAAGAGGTGTATTGTAGAACTCTCTTGGCTGTATGACTACAGAGGCAGCCCATTCTTTTGGGTGGACTTGGAAAAGTTAAGGAAATTGTTTGTTTGTTGTTTTTTTTTTCCAGACTGTGTTCTGTATTCTGAGAGGTGGAAAGAGTTGTATGTTATCTGTTGGCTGTTTCTTGAAAGTAGCACTAGAGGCCCTATGTGTGATGTGTTGTGTGAACATGCTTTGGAATTTCTTCTTCCGTGGGACGTGGCCAGTTGGACATCTGCTGCCAACACTGATGTGCATTTGCTGGTCTGTTGTAGGGTCTGAGTGCCCGGACCGCTTGGCTATGGACTTTGGTGGGGCTGGTGCCGCCCAGCAAGGGCTGACTGACAGCTGCCAGTCTGGAGGTGGTATTGGATGCACACAGAATGGGGAAAGATGGGATTTGACGGGTCTTTGCCCAGACCGATGGGCTTTAATTTTACTTGTTCTTTTCCTAAGGTGTTCCTACAGCGGTGCAGAACTTAGCACCTCGTACTGCTGTGGCTACCGCTGCTCCTCGGGCTGTTGCACCTTACAAGTATGCCTCCAGTGTCCGCAGCCCTCACCCTGCCATACAGCCACTGCAGGTGAGGTCCACCACACAAAACACTAAAAGGATTTCCCCTATTGCCACACTATTTACAAGATGCCTTGCTTTGATTCCTTCAACAGATATTAAATGCCTGCTCTGTGTGAGGATGCTGTGTCCTATGTGATGACACTGCCCTTGAGGGACTCTAGTGGGAGAGAACGCTTGAAAGTGTTCTTCCCAGTAACAGGTCACTCAGAAGTGCCCCAGAAGAGATGAGATGTCCAGTGATTGATTCCTGCTCTCCTTTTTACAATATACATGTGCTCAGGCAGCTCTTTGAGCTTTCATTTCATTTTTACCTCCATTGGCCTAGTTGATCCTTAGCTGCTGTTCAAGATGATCAGTACATTAAGGCAGTAAAGAACTTCCATCTTTCAGAAAAGTTCAGCTTTAGAGGTGTCGAGTTGGGGTCAAGGAGTTGGACCTAGATAGCAGATTTTCTAAGCTGGAACCTGCATCTCTGGAGCTATGCCTCCCAGGCAAGCCAAGGTGCAACTAGTTTGTTGAAAAGCTTAGGTGCACTTTGCTCAGAGTAGCCACACTCAGCCTTGTGATTGATCCATGAGCTGCTTCCTCCTGCTCCGTGCCAAGTTTGATATTTCTCAAAACTTGATGCTATGTGAAATATTTTTTGCCCTACTTTTAGGACTACGACTAGCATTAACATTGCATGTTGAGGGTTCTCAAGCATCTGATATAAAAACATTTGCTACAGTAAAGATGTTGTGGGATATAATGATAAAATGGTTTGATAATCACACCCTTTGACCCAATCTCTACTGGGAATTCACCCTAGAGGAAAACTGGTTTTCAGGAAAAGGCTACACATACAGATATTCTCTGTACCTTATTTATTAACAAGGTTTTGAATTCTTGGGTAACCTTGGGTAAATTATAAGCATCGTAGGATTTTTGTTTGTTTCTCTTCCCTTCTAATAGCATGCTGTTATTGTAATTGGCTGTTTGACGCCCACACTAGTGTGTCCCTCACCTCACTTTGTCCATCCCTCAAGACTACAGTTAGTTCCTTGATGGCAATGACAGACCTCCTTCTCTTTCACACAGTTTCAGATGTCGAATGGTCAGGCTCTTGACCACTGTTAAGTTTCCTTTCCTTCATGCTAACTCACTGCTGCTTCTGGTTCCCAGGCACCTCAGCCTGCAGTCCACGTGCAGGGCCAGGAGCCCCTGACCGCCTCCATGCTGGCTGCAGCACCCCCCCAAGAACAGAAGCAGATGCTGGGTGAGTGACCTATGTGCTTGCAAAAGCGGGGCCAGAACCTGGTACTGACCTGGACACTAGTGTCCATTCTTTACAGAGATTAGACCTGGTTTTTACTTCAGTATCTTCCCACAGGAGAACGTTTGTTCCCACTCATCCAAACCATGCATTCAAATTTGGCTGGAAAGATTACGGGAATGCTGTTGGAGATCGACAACTCCGAGCTGCTACACATGCTAGAGTCCCCCGAGTCTCTCCGCTCCAAGGTGAGCCAGTTGGTCCTCGGACCCTGTGGCTTAAGCTCAGGGGGAGGATGACAGATAGCCTTGGACCCCTAGGAGTGGCAGAGAGAACGGGCTACTGTAGTGTGGGTATTTGAGAAAGTGATCACCAGGAGAAGGGATGGAGGGGCACTCCTTCGTTGTCGCTGACCACTTAGAGATTTCTCACAGGTGGATGAAGCTGTGGCGGTTCTACAGGCTCATCATGCCAAGAAAGAAGCTGCCCAGAAGGTGGGCGCTGTTGCTGCTGCTACCTCTTAGACAAGGAAAAACCGTATGTCTGGCTATTTTTGTTTTCTGCAATGGTTTTGATTTATGGACAGTGTGTAAAGATTAGGGACAATGTGTAAAGCCATGTTTCTGCCATTTAACCTGATAACTTGGGCAGGCTGTCACTTGGGTTTTTTCTGTCATCTGAATGAGTTAATATGAAGAAAAGTACAGATTATGAATTATAAGGAACAAACAACAGTTTTCTCAATAAAGAGCATGTAGTTAGGAGTTCTGTATAGCTTATCTTTTCTTGAGTTATAAGCAGACTTCTCAAGAATCATCTTTTTTTGTTCTGGAATGATGACATATACCAGTGTCGTAAACATCCCACAGCTGCATTTCTATGAGCATCTTCCTGATTTGGCTTGAGATTGGTGAGGTCAGCCACTGCTTAGCTCTGGGAATACAGTGGTCACAGGACTTGGTGTCAGAGTGGGAGAGACAGACACACACTTGACCAGTTACAAGGTGTGTTCCAGTTGACTTCTGGGCTTGGGAACCATGGCCCCTATCTGCAGGGGACTGGGTGAGTGAAGCTTAGCTAAGACCTCTGACAAGAACGAGCAGGTGCCTCCAGATGGGGAGAGAACCAAGTGAGCAGAGACAAAGGGGAAAGTGCATGTGGTAAGGGCCAGAACTGCCATCGAGGTTTGGGTTGAATTGGCATAGCAATGGCTTCTTGGCCTGTCATTTGGAATTTTAAGCAAGAGAATTGTAAAACTAGATGGATTGAGTACAAGATGGCATAGAAGGGTGAGGGGTGGGCCCTTACAGACCATAGCTAACCTCAAAGTCAGTGGTTCTCAACCAGGAGTGCCCCCTCAGGACATGTGCCAATGTCAGGAGACATTTGGGGTTCTCACAACTGGCGATGTGTCACTGGCATCTAGTGAGGAGAGGCCAGGGATGCTGCTAAACATTTTATCTACACTGTACAGGAGACGGCCCCAACAGAATTTTATCTTGGCCAAAATGTCAGCACCGAGGTTGAGAAACCCTTCTCTACAATACCTTCTTTTATCAGCCGGAGATTTCAGTGAATCTCTGAGGTTCTTTTGATTATTTGTATTGGTGCTTTTCTTTTCAGGATTCTAAAGCCAAATAACCCCTCATGGAATTCAGCTCAAGGTTTGAAGACTTCCTAGCTTGTCCTATGGACCTCAACACCAAGAACCACAAATTGCAAATTTAATAGGTCATTTTGTATCAAAAGGTCAATTATGAAGCACCTAGAATTTTTCAATTAAAAAATATATCCTCTGGGTTCTGCTGTGACCCAGACAGTGTTAACTTTTTTTTTCCTATTGTGGGTTTTGATTCCCCCCCGCCGCCAAATTGGTTTTATTTGATGTACCCAAGTCTTAAGTTTCTCAATAAAGAAAAAAATCTCCATAAAACTGCCTCTGTCTTATCTGTTTTACTTTGACCACACAGTTTTATCCTAGAAATCTGTTCTCACTGAAAGTAATTTTAAAATGTAAATAGAATCAAATGAAGTTCTGTATAGCCTAGCATCCTTTCCTGACAGTTATAAGCAAACTATTTTGGGTTAGCTAGGTGTACAGAACAGTCTCATTGCATTTTATTAGGGAACATTTGTATTGGCCACCATTTAATTTAATGGAACAGGAGCCTGATCAGAGCAGACCTTGGGTCTAATGCAAATTGGCACATTTCTGGACATATGATGAGATATGCAGAACCTGGCCCACCCCTCCTGGATGTGTTGGTGGGGTGTTGTCAATCCTTTCTATCTTAAGGACAGTTTGTCCCACATAGAGATCAGGAGGTCTAACTTCCCAGATTCTACAACTACAGTTTCTTTTGGCAGATTATGGAAGGCTTGGGAGATAGGTTTGAGTGACGAAAGCAAGCAAGTGCTGAAGTCCTAAGTGTTTCGTGGTTCCTGTAGTCTTCAAAATGACCATAACTTGGCTAAGGTCAACCAGTCGGTCTACTTGCCTTCCTTGTCCTCCAGGAACACTTCCTTTTCCCCTTCGTTGAGCTTGGCAGGCAGTCCTTCCGCAGGTCCTTATGCAGTCCTTTTCCTGGGAATGTTCTTCCTTTTCGGAGGGCTCCCCTTTTACTTAAGGTCTGACCCCCCCCCACCTTAACTATCGTAAAGGCGCAATTTACATTGATCCACCCCATTTCCTGATGACCATGGTTACCGCTGCTGTAGCTAGCGCGACCTGGTCTCATGCGGCAGCATCTGCGCTGGCCGGCAAGGGGGCGGGGCTCGGGTGCTGGCTTCCGGCGGAAGAGCTGTGGAGGCAAGATGGCTGCCTCCAAGAGGTGCTCTACGTGGGAGACCCGGTATGGGGACTTCACTGGCGAGGCCTCAATTGAATTGAGTTTGGGGGTGGCCCTAGGTGGTACGCAGCGTCCCAGGCCGGTCTCTTATGGGGCTTTACCCCCTCAGCCTGAGAATGGCGCTCGCGACCTATCGGCTTTGCCGGTCCTAGCGCTGCCGTTTTCTCTCTGACTCCGTACCCAGAAAAGTAGTGATACTTATTGTGACCTCGGACCGCATTCCAAACTTTAATTCCCATGTATTCCATAAATTTCGCAGACCTATCTCCTTAGATGAAGGCATTCCCAGAATAGCCGGAGAATTATGGAAACAGCCTCACTGTGGGGGTTGGTGAACACTACGATGTAATTGTATGACCGATAGTGATAAAATCGAAGAGGGTCGGCTGAAGAGGGTCAAGCCAGGGCTTTCCTTTACATCTGGAAAAGTGAGGGCAAGCATCCTGGAGGCACTGAATCCAGAGCTGGCTGTGAAATATCAGGAGGTAGGGAGGCATCCAAAATGGGCGCAAGGCTGTTGCCTGAATGGAGAGCAGCAAGAGCAAAAGCCCGGAAGGGTGAAGCGGTCTAGCATTTAAGGCAAATAGTTTGTGCTGGAAAAGTGAGGGGAAAAGAGGTTAGAGAGGTGGTCAGGGCTCAGGTTATGAAGGTCTTACATGCCATGCTAAGGAATTTGTGGACATTGGTGAGCTTTTGGGAATATTAAGCAGAGTAGTGATGTAATCAGGTTTGCACTTTCTTGGAATCATTCTAATGGCTGTATAGAGGAGCAAGAGAAACTGAAGGTGGTGAGCCCATATTTAAGAAGCTGTAATAGTGATCTGGGGCTAGATGTAGGTCTAAAGAGGGATGGGGAGAAGTAATTTTGTATATCCAAAAGACTGTAGGGACCCTTCCTTTTCTTCCCTGTAGCTGTCTTGCTAAAATTGTTGCAGCAGCATTACCAAGAGTGCAGAGGACATTAGTTCAGAATGTCCAAGAGTGCAGAGGACATTTATTCAGAAGTTGCTTGGTGTCTTTGCAGGTTGACTTGCAGAGTTGGATGACAAAGTTCTTCATGCTGCTTTTATTCCTTTTGGAGACATAACAGATATACAGATTCCACTGGATTGTAAAACAGGTCAGTCTTTTCAGTGTCTCATGTTCAGATTCCTAATGCCAGGGAAAGAACTTGAGAAAAAAATGTTAAGTCGTGCACTCTGTGTATGTTTGGTATGTAATGAAATTCAGGATAATGTCTCTGTAGGTCAGCATTACTGGGATCTTGGTCATGGAAAACGATTGTTCTGAGGACAACAAAACCAGGATGGTGGTATGACTGGGCAGAAATTTACAGAGATTGACAATTTGTTGGATTTGAGGAAAGGCTTTCTCCACATTGGAACTATTTGGGGGTTTTGATTTCTGATCATTTAATATATCAACTCTGTAGTAAGAATCAATAAGAAGATAGTCTTAGGAAAATCTTAAAAAATCTTGGTGTTGTTTCATACCACCTGCTGGGTAGCTGTACCCCCACCGTATCTGCTGACCAGACTTCCCGTCTTGCCAGCTGTAATTTTAAATAGTAGAGGGCAGCAGGAAAGCACATCCTCAACAATGGAGTCTTGACAGCTGTTCACTTGGGTGAGTTTTCCTTCAGTTGAGATCCCAGATAGAGTACATGTTTCTATTTGATCCTTGGTTGTTATTTTTTAAGATAGGAGTTCTAACCACTTTGTGTGTGACACTTAAACTCTCTGAGCCCTAAGTTCTTCAGTTCTAAAATAAAACGGTAAGACTGGCTTTTGCGGGGGGGCGGCTTCTACCTCTAGTTCTATAAATTAGTAACTCCTATTGCTCTTGTTCTCTCCCAACTAAAATGATTTTTTTTTCTGAAGACAGGCACTGCGCTCCCTTTTTAGTAGTTACCTGAGTTGTGAAGTCAGTGCTTTGTATGGTTAATGCTCAGTTGGAATGAATAATTGATAGATAAACAACTTTTTCTACTTTCTATAAGTCTTGTAAACTAAGGTTATCAGAATGCTTGGAAAGTAACTTAAGGCTTAAATTCTATAGTGGTAGAATTGGATACTACAAAGTTTAAAAATGTAGTTACTATTTAGGTATATGACTTAAACAAAATAACTTTAATATTTCTGGAAGCTTTGTTAACTAAACCAAGAAAAATCTGAAAATTATATTTTTAATTTTTAAATGACATTCAAATATGGCATGTTTCCCCCTATTGCCTACATATGTAGAAAAGCACCAAGGATTTGCTTTTGTTGAATTTGAGTTGGCAGAAGAAATTTTCCCTGTTTAGTATTTGACTAATGAGCGTTGCTGTTGTCTTTGGTTACAAAAGATGCCACTCTCCATTTGGGTGGATTAAAACAACAGAAATTTATTCATACAACTCTGGAGGCTGGAAGTCCAAAATCAAGGTATCGGCAGGGCCATGCTCCCTTTGAAGGCTCTGAGTAGAATCTTTCCTGGTTTCTGGTGGCTCCTGCCAATCCTTGGCATTCCTTGGATTATAACTGCATCACTCCAGTCTCTGCCCCTGTCTTCACATGGCCTTCTTCTCTGCATGTGTGTGTGTCCTCTCTTCTTGTAAAGAACCACTCATTGGATTTATGACCCACCCTAATCCAGTATGACCTCATCTTAACTAATTATACCTGCAAAGATCCTGTTTCTAAATAGGATCACATTCTGAGGCTTGGGTAGATATAAAATTAGGTGGATGTAAAATTAGGGATGTAAAATTAGGGGGACCCTTCAATCCTTTATAACGACTTGGTGGTAACAGTTGCCAAGGGACAGGAAATTCTAATTGAAGGAAGGCCTACCAGGCCTAGCTCAAAGTTCCCCACATAAAGTCAGCATGTGGAAGACAGGCCCTACAGAGCCTTCTGACCTGACATTGCTAGTTCCTGTTCCCTGTGTGTTTCCTCTGTCTCCGTAACCTGGGCACACTCACATACCAGCAGCTCTAACTAGCAGTTAGTACATATTCTTTGTTGAATATGTACATATAGTCTAGGCAGGAAGGAAGAGAAAATGTATCTTTTCCTGTGCTTGTGCTACTGAGTTTTTATTTAAATGCTTAACTACAAGAAGAGTTGAACTGCACATTGAACTGCAAACATGAACCTTTCCCTTGTTTTCTTTTGGCAGGATGCTGCAGCTGCTATCGACGACAGGGTATGGCTGATAATCTTTGCTTTTTACTAAAGTTGTTATTTGGTGCTACTTTACACAGGACCATCATGCACACATTGTGTTTCCAGTGTGCACAGTTTCAAAGTTCTATAGGAAGGAAAAGTTGTCATTATTTGAAAGTATTCACTATCCACTGGCTACATATGAAATTAATTCTTATTCAGACATCCTCCCTATTTAACATTTGTATAATTACCAACCATCTTTGTTAGCTAGTCTCTCCCTAACTGTTTTGTATCTACATCAGGGGTCAGGAAACTACATTCCATGGGCCAAATCCATCCTGCAGCTATTTTTGTGTGGCCTATGAGCTAAATGGTTCTTATATTTTTAAAGGGTTGTGGGGAAAAAAAAAACAGCAGAGGCTGTATGTAGCCCACAAAACTTAAAATATTTACTGTCTAACCCTTTTCAGAAAGTTTGTTGACCTTTAGTCTAGGGCAAATACTGCAAATAGAGTGTAAATTAATTGCAAGGTAAAATTGTAAATCTCGCATAAGAGGCAAGGTTTCATGAAGTGCCTGAAAGTGATTATGAAAAACTGCTGTCATTGATTGGCTCTAGTCCATTGAAAAGTGATGCTCTTGTAAAGTTAAATCCACTAACTGACAGGTTGGGTGCTTCAAAAGGAAATGATTTGAATTTCTATTGCTGCCATGACAAATCAGCACAAATTCAGTGGATTACGCAATACCAATGTGTTATCTTACAGTTCTAGGCATCAGAAGTCCAAAATAGGTTCTCTCTGAGCTAAAATCAAGGTATCAGTAGGGCTGCGTTCCTTGTGGAGGCTCTAGGGGAGATTCTTTTTGCCTTTTCCAGATTCTAGAGATCGACCACATCACTCGGCTTTCAGCCCCTCCCATCTTCAAGCCAGCAATAGCCAGGCAAGTCTTTCTCACTCTGTCACTCTGAAACTAGGTGCCTCTCTCTTCACGAGGTGCCCTTCCCACCTCGACCAGGCCTGGGACTTACCTTTTGGCTTCACTTAGTCCTCCTTATCTCATCTACCTCTCCTAAGACCTGGACTTGAAGGTTTGACATTTCCCAGTGAGAACTCTCCTTGCCTTGGGAGTTCCTAAGAGCTAACTGCAGCCTGTGAGAGCCATTTAGTGTGTCTGCTTTGCTGACCAAAGCTGCAAAGAACTGGACATAGCTAATTAGCTGGATGATAGCTTGAATCTCTTACATTCTTTTGATTATTTCCCTTCAGTTTAGTCAGATAACTACTGGCTGAAGAATTTATCTGGGAAGACTAGAAGAGAGTAAAGAAGAAAAAAGGTCAGAGCTTCCCAAAGCAGAAACGCAGGAGGTGAGATTGGAGGCTGTGCTTCCAGAGGAGAGGCTGGCACAGCCACCCAGGGCGCTTCTCTTGTGGGTGATGTTGGGTGAATTGAATGGAGAAGCTTTGGGTTTCTCATCTGTGTAGGGCTCTAGGTGTGCTTGGGGATTTGTGATTGCTACTGAATGAGGGGATGTCTGAGATGAGAATGGACAGTGGGTTACCCTTATCAGTGTCATCCGCCATCCTTCTTATCTTTCCTGCTCCCTTACTGAAGACCTTGGCACCAGGCTCACTGTCTTTCTATTGCTGCCCTGATTCCAGGGAGGCCCCTCCCCTCAGTCTGCATCCAGGTACCGGCTCTCCCTGCCTCAGCACTTCTGCTTTTTGATACAGTGACTTTTGCTTCTCGGGATAATTCAGGGACTCCATTTCCTCTCTCCTGAACAGTTGTGTTTCTCTGTTTTCCTTCCTCACCCCTTCTCTCCACATTGTTTTTGTGCAGTTTCAGCCACTTTTGTCCCCTGTCTATGGTTATCACAATCATTCAATATTCTGATGATTTCCTGATCTCTAGTCCTAACCCTGATTTCTCTTTCCTGAGTCACATATTTCTGCCTGAATGTCTCAGTCGTCATAAATAAAGCACATCCCAGATAAATTTTCTCTTTCCTTTCACTCTGGTCTTCCTGTGTGCTTGATCTTAGTTAATTTTTCTGTCTTCCACGTAGTCTCCCAAACTAGAAATCTCAGTGTTGTCTTAGACCCCCTCATATTTCATGCCTAACACATTGCTATAGCCTGCTAATTTTATCTTTTAAGTCTTCTTGAATCTCTGCTCTCCTGTTTTGTTCGTGCCACATTTCCTTGGCTTAACTTCTCTCATCTCTCCTGTGAATAATGACAGTAGCTTCCTAACTGGTCTCCCTGCTCCAGGCCTTGCCTTCCTTTCCTGAGCACAGATCTGATGATACTCCTCTCAAGTATTCTAGGGACCCTTCATCTATAGGATTGAGTCCATGCTCCATCATGAAAGAAGGGCTCCCCATGTTCTGACCCTGCTCATCTCTACATTGTATCCCGTTTTATATTCTAGGAAACAAGAATTTATCATTACCTATAAATCTTCAGATTTTTACATAAGCAGTTCCTTTGCCTAACATGCCCTTCCCAGCTCTTTTATCTGGATAATTCCTGCTCATCTTTCATAACTGAGCTCAGTTGCTACCTTGTCCAGGAAACTTTTGAGAACCCTCCAGCTGACTGAGATAGGGTCTCTTTTGGGCTTCCATGGCCTCTGAGCTTCTGAGGTACCCACTATCCTAGCATTTACTGCATTGTTTTGACATTACTTATTTAGTAAATATTTATTGCTCAAATGCCAGGCACTGTTCTAAGTGCTTTGCAAATATTTAATGCTATTGAGAATCTTTTGAGATAAGTACTATTATCATTCCCAATTCTAGGGGACAAAACTGGAGCACAGTGAGGCAAATAACTTTGTCGAACCTTACACAGTTTATAAGTGGTAGAGCTGAGATTTGAAGCAAGGCTGTATCGGTCTAGGATCTGTGTGCCTCTCACAGTTGTGGCCACCCTCCCCCACTGGATAGCGAATTCACCAAGGGTAGGAACCATATCTTCTTGCTTAATAGACCCAGTGCTTGGTCTGATAGTTCAATACCTATATCTTGACCTATCCACACTACAAGAGGTCAGAGTCAATAGAGTTTTCAATATCAAATAAATGGGAGGGTTTGTATTGAATGTGTTATTTACCTACTCGCCTTGTCTACTTGGAGCACAAAGCAAAGCCCAACCTCCTCCATTGTCTTCTGAGCACTTAGGCCCAAACAGGAAGGCCACTCTCTTCTCTTCTATTTTAGCCAATCTATGACTGTGTAGGGTTAGGCACAGAGGAAGAAGATTATAGGTCCATTTAACTGGACCAAGGTGAGTGGCTTGTGCTGGGGTTTGAAGATGTTGAGAGTTGTGTATTGTGGGCCAGGAAAGCGTCGTTCTCTGACTGCAGAGAAGGATGGAGCAAGCCGAGGTGTCTGAGGGCGAGTGTGATGAGATAACATGCCTGCGGGGTGGGGTTCAAGTTGAGTAGTGCTGAGGTCTCCTTTCTCTAGGTGTCCAGCTGGGTGCTGTGGCCATGGCCTCTCCCTTCTGCAGCCCCATCGGGGCCCAAGGCCTTCCCGGTCAGCACCTCGCTCCAGCCTGCTCACTGTAGTTGGGCTCTGGACGTGTGCTCAGAAGAGTACTCACTGTCCTACTCGGGGAGTCAAGGAGTCTTCTCTAACCTAATGGTGTCTTCCGTGCCCAGGGAGAGCCCACAGCAAAAAAGGCCCGGTCGAATCCTCAGGTGTACATGGACATCAAGATTGAGGACAAGCCAACCAGCCACATCCAGATGCCCCTATGACAGCAGGTGAGCAGGACTCCAGTCAGGTGGGCCAGGAAGCTGGTGGCTGAGCAAGCTGGGGAGGAAGCTGTGTGGAATCCTGGGCCCTTGACATTCTTTCTACCTGGGTCTATTTGAGGCATCTTGGATCCCAGCATCTAGTAACAAATAGGGCAAAGCAGGAATTTTTGAAGCTCTATAAAGGCTTATTAGGACCATTAGAAAGAATAAGCAGTTGAAAGTTATTGATTATTTAAATTACCTTCTGGTTTGGTTTTATTGGCTTTTATTTTGTGTTAATTTTGTTTTGATATATTTTCAAACAGATATATAAAATAAGAATTCTGTAACACTAGTACAAGGAACTCTCATATGTCCTTTATCCATTTATTAATTTACTTTTTGCCTCCTATACTTTATCATTTTATTTATTTACATATTTTTTTCCAACCTATACCAGTTGAGAGGAAGTTGAAGACATTATATTCCATTCAGTGTATTTCCTGAAAACAAGATTATTCCCTTACATGATCACAGTACAACTGTCAAAATCAGGAAATTTAACATCAGTACAACACTTAACTCATCTTCAGGCCACATTCAGATTTCATCAATTACTGCAATGTTGTCCTTTATAGTAGTTTTATCAATTTTTCTTTCTTGACAGGGATTCACACGTTGCATTTAGTGATCCAGTCTATTTAGTCTCTCAGTTTTCCATTGTCTTTCTTGATCTTGACATCTTTGAAGAGGACAAACCAGTTGTTTTAAGATTGTTTTTCAATTTGTCTTTGGTACTTCCTCATGATTAGATTTAGATTATGTATTTTGGCAGGAATACCACAGAAGAATGTTGTTTCTTTGTTAGTACATTGTGTAAAGTACTTGATGCCACTTCCAATATTTGTGATGTTAACTTGGATCACTTGGTTAAGGAGATCTCTGCCAGGTTTTTCCTGGAAAGTTATTATTCTTAAGGTTGTAAATTAAAAGCCAAATTTTTTTCCCCTCACTATCTGCAGCCCATCTCCCAGAGGTAACCACTATTTATTGACAGTTTTTGTGTTTCACATTTTCTTAAATATGTTACTGCTACTTGATTTTATTTTCAGTTTTTGGCTATTTTAGGTTAGTTTTTCTGGGAAACAGACTCATGGGGATTTGCATGAAAGAAGTTTATTGGAAATTGATCTTGATCAACTCTTAGTACTCGTAATTTTTTTTTCTTTACATTTAGATATGTGACCCATTTAGAATTTATTCTTGCAATGGGATGAGGTATGAGTCCAATTTCACCTCTTTCAACTGTTTATTAATTTGTTTCCACACCAGTTTGTAAAATGTCTGTCTTTACCCTGGTGATGTTAAGATGCCAACATTTGTGAGATAACCAAATTTCCACATGTTCCTGGGTCTGCATCTGTTGTCCGGTCTATTCAGTCTATTTGTGTGCCAGTATCACACTTAAACGTTTAATTCAAATAAACATAACATGTATTTTTTTTAGATTCTGAGAGCTAGAGTGTTAACCATCCAGTTAGATTTTTTTTTACTTCAGCACCTTGTCCTTTCTCAACCCCAGAGAATTTCCTTTGCCTGTGCACCCACGGGAAGGGCTTTGGCTTCAAAGGGAGCAGCTTCCACTGCATCATCCCCCAGTTCATGTGACAGGGCAGCGATTTCACGAACCACAGTGGCACTCGGGGCAAGCCCGTCTACTGGGGGCAAGTTCAATGAAGAGAACTTTATCCTCCAACATACAGGACGAGGTGGGACTCGATCAGTGAGTGGTGACGATTGGGGCCAGGCTGAGGCAGGATGGCTATGCAGGGGGGATGACAGGCTGTGTGGTTCAGGCTGAGGAGTCGGGGGTCTAGAAGAGACCCAGCTAGTACACAGAAGAGAAGCATTCAACCTGGCTAGAGCTTTAAGCTTCTCAAGGGCTATTTATTTATTTATTTATTTATTTATTTATTTTGGCCTATTCAAGTTCATGTTTGCCTCTTTTTAAGAGGAAGAGGCATAGTAGCCTGGTTCTGCTGCTATAGTGATGTATTGTCATTGTTTTTGTAACTATTTTATGTAATTTTAAGCTTACAGAATGGTTACAAGAATAGAACAAGCACCGCCCTCCCCCCATAAGCCGTTAGGTACCTTTTACCCTGATTCACCAATCGTTCCCCACTTTTGTCTTATAC